ATTCTTTGCTGCAGATGGCATGGCCTTGCTCCAGAACCCCAAAGGCCTCCCACTCAGGCTTCCCATAAGCTCCTCACTGCATGTTTCCGCACTGTTGACACCTCCAGTATCATAGGATCTGCCGGATCATCTGGCCTGAATGGCAGGATTACTTGTACCACAGCCTGGACCTGCTGCAGAGCGCTTTTCTGCTGACTCTCATGCAAAGCTAGTAGCTTTGCATGTCACCTGGAATATGTGTCAGAGCAGTATTTGTGCAGGGGGGATATGCTGACTCCAGAATGGGAAGAGGCCTCGAAGTATTGTGCTTTCCTCTTCATGGTGGAAAGTGCATGATTCAATGTTTTGCCCTATTCTTTGGAAGGGCTGTTCTGGTTTACTGCCCTGGACCACTGGATTCCTAAAAATATTACTAATGCAGCAGGCCCTTGAGTCTCTGTAAGGTTTAGTCCCCACCCTCTGGAATGGATGTGTCTTATCAGAGTGATATGTAACCCTCTCTTGCTCATCTTGCACAATCAATATGATGTAATCGATGTGGTGGTCCAGTGTGCTATTTCCTGGGTTATCCAGCTGGTTTGGACTATCTTATGACACCAGGTGAGAGAAAGAGCATAGCCCTATGGCAAGACCACCCACGAATATTATCATCAGACTCATGTGAGTGTGAACTGTTTCTGATCCTCTTTTCTAATCAGAATAGAAAATAATACATTAGCCAAGTCAGTGGCCACCTGCTGTACCTGAGGTCTTATTAATCTGTTCTGGCAATGACAGCATGTCCAGTACAGCAGGTACAACCAAGAGTACTACTTGGTTGTGTTTGCAGTAGCCTGCAAGCATTCTTTAGGATCCATCCGACCTCTCCAGGGTCCATACTGCTCAATTCGATGGAGCTAAGATGGAACTAACACCTCTGCTCCTTTAGATCTTTCAATGTGGCATTGATTTCCATCATCACACATAGAATGCACACAATATTGTTTGTGATTTACTGTTCAGGCCATGGGGGTGTGTGCCATTTCAGAAACTTTTAATTTGGACTTCTCTACTGAAATAGCTCTTACCCCACAGGCCAAGAAGCCCATGCTGACAACTGCAGAGTATGCCATTGCAGTTATACATTTGTGAACTGAGGAAGTGACCATTGGGTGGGTCTCTGGAGCCACTAGACCCACTGTAAGCAGGACCGGGGCCAGGGCTCATTTATCACCTTACCACTACTGTGCTTCTCAGCGTGACTGGCACCACCCTCACCAGCACATTTCTTATTGGTTTCATAAGTTGTGTATCCTCTGGACCTTCCCATAGAACATAATCAGCAGGTGGGTTTTCCAGATTTCAGTAGTGTATCTACTCCGACATGTCTGCTTCTTTGAGCCCTTTGATCCTTCCCTGTGCAATCTGCCATGGAAGCTCTGCTTCACTTAGTGTGAGCCATTGTTTACTCCAGGTTTCCAAATACCAGTGTGTTAGTAACACTTCCTAGAGTCCTCGCCAGGGTTTGAAGTTCCGTATCCTGGGAGTGCGCGCCAACTTCCTGTTCTACCTCCTTCGCCCATTGTCCTCAAGATCCATTCCCATGCATCCCTTCCTAGCTCCTGCCGATACATACTAGCCAGATTCTAGCTTCTTCTACAGATCATTTCTCTCCTTCCTTTGCAAGCCTAGAACCTGTCCAGCCGGGTTTCACTAGGATTTGACTCTAATTTTTGGTCTGGTTTCCAGGAGGGGAGGTGGGGATAGATTCTGAGAGGGGCAGGTATTGTCTTACAAGGCGCCTGCTTCATTTGAAGCCTCTGCATTATCTTCGGGCAGAAGGTATATATTCTAACTCACTCGGGGGAGTGGTCTACTTCAGCAGGCTCAGTGGATGCAGGTGAATGTGTAAGCTCAAGGTGTTTAACTGCAGCCACCCAGATATCCCCATCTTAGAGTCCTATTCCCGTCCTGTTAGGGCCCTGAGCATGGCCTAGGAGATGTGCTGGGCCTGAGAAGTCGTCTTTTTCTGAAGCTCCACCACCACAGAGAATTAAATTCTTAGCCTGGCTCTCCCCTCTGTCTGCCCTCTGACGCAGGAGATGAGGATTTGCTTAAATGTAGTCACGGAGGTCCTCTGGCTTTCACATTTTGCCTTGAATTCACCCTGAGCATGTCAGATCTTTCTTCAGCTACTCAACGGCACTTAGAGAATAGTCACCCAAGTCTGGTTACCATTTCCCTGACATCACTCAAGTTCCAGGGATATTTCACCAGCCAGTATATTCGCTTCCACCGGAATCCTGTTACGGCCCACCATCAGGAAAAGTCACCACTGCTCCAAAACTCTGGGGGCCTGCACTGAGAGTTTTCTCCCACCTGAGAGAATAAACACCACACAGCATCTTTTCCTACTACTGACACCTCCAGTGTCAGAGGAGCTGCTGGGTCATATGGCCCAAGTCACATCCTGCTTGCACCACAGCCCAGACCTGCTGCAAAGTGCTTTGCATTGCTATAGCATGTCGGAGGCTGTCTGTGCCCCACCTCCCACCACTGATGGGTCCTCACTGCCATCTGGCTGCTGGGTAACCCAGTTCCAGAATTGCGTTAGACCATCCTTATAGTTTGACTTCCATGGCCCACTGTTTTAGGTTTTGAGGTGGAGATTTGCATGCGGGAGGCTTATTGGGGTGTGCCATTGGGATCAATGCCTGTGAGGAGGGGTGGGTTGAGCAGAGGGAGAGGCTGGCTCAAGATGTGGTTGCCTCAGGGGCCTCCGTTGATCTTATGGGGAGCCCTGGGGCTGGGATGGTCCTTCAGAGTCAACCAGGATTGAGGCAAGGAGGCTGGCCTTTCTTTTCCCTCATAGACCAGACCATGGGGATGGACCAGACCATGGGGATGCCCTCACAAAGTAGGTATAACCTTGGCCAAGGCAGTTCCCTGTGGCAAGACAATTTCCAGTGGGGACACAGCCGTGAGCTGTCAGAAGCTCCCATTCAAGGCACATTGTCTCTGAAAAGGAGGCCTGAGCAGACCACCACAGTATCCAACTACACTTATGATCAGAAAAGTTTTAGAAACAGTGATGTACCCCATCATCCCCACTCATCACTTTATAGATGAAAAATATGCAGGGTTGAGAGAGATTCTCTCCCAGCTCTTCAGAGGGGATGGTGTCAGTGATGGGGTGTGTGTGTGTGTGTGTGTGTGTGTGTGTGTGTGTGTCAGAGCGAGGGAAAAGAAATAGCTGTACTTGGGGTCTGTTGCATATGTCAGTCAAGTCACCAGGGTGACAAGTCATCAGGTCTTGAATCTTGATTGTGTGCCTGTCGGTGACCAGTAGCCCTGAAAGTGTCTCTCCCCTTCATCTGCCTTCCATGAGAAATCTGACTGGGGATGAGCTCCCATCCCTGGAGCAGCCTGCTGGCTAGAAATCCTGAGACTGGGGGAGGAGGCCACCGGAAACCAAGCCCAGCTGGGGATGGGCCCAGGGACAATGACATAGCAGTTCGTGATGTGCCTGCTGCTGCTCCCACTCCCCCTCCCTCCTGTTGCTCCTTCTCCTCCTCAGCGGCATTCCTCCCTGCCCCCATCATTGCCAGCTACACTGGCTTCTCTAGAGCTACCCAGCCCGCACCACTCAATCCACTCCTCCTTGTCGGATGCAGCTGCCCACCCATGGCCATTGTGTTTCTCACAGCACACAAGCACACATGGTGAATGTGCTCCTCCTTGCGAAAGGGCTGAGAGTGGAGAGATGCTGCAGGCCACACAGCCAGACACAGGCACTGAGCTATACACAGGCACTAAAAATACACAAACACAGGCACGCCTCAGAGATATGTAGTTTCTTTCTTTCTTTCTCTCTCTCTCTCTCTCTTTTTTGCCCTAGATCTTGCTCTGTTGCCCAAGCTGGAGTGCAGTGGTGCAGTCATGGCTCACTGCAGCCTCAACTTCCTTGGCTCAAGCCACTCTCCTGCCTCAGCCTCCCCAGTAGCTGGGACTACAGGTGTGCACCACTATGCCTGGCTAGTTTTTTGTTTTGAAATGGAGTCTCGTTCTTGTTGCCTAGGCTGGAGTGCAGTGGTGCGATTTCAGCTCACTGCAACCTCCGCCTCCTGGGTTCAAGCGATTCTTCTGCCTCAGCCTCCCAAGTAGCTGAGATTACAGGTGTGCACCACTACGCCCAGCCAATTTTGTATTTTTAATACAGATAGGGTTTCACCATGTCAGTCAGGCTGGTCTCGAACTCCTGACCTCAGGTGATCCACCCGTCTCAGCCTCTCAAAGTGCTGGGATTACAGGCGTGAGCCACTGGCCCCAGCCATTTTTTTGTTTTTGTTTTCCAATTTTTTTCTATAGAGATGGAGGTCTCTCTATGTTGTCCAGGGTGGTCTCCAACTCTTGGCCTGAAGCAATCCTCCCACCTCCAGCCTCCCAAAGTGCTAGGATTACAGGCGTGAGCCACTGTACCTGGCCAGATATGTCTTTTTAAGGTTCTTTGTCGTTTACCGACCTCCATGGAATTTCAAAGCATGTTCTAATTTACATAGTACTGCTAATTTTGTGGAGCTCTTAAAAAGCATTTACAATGGCAATGTGATGAGCAGACCATATTTTGGCAAATGCCTGCTCTCTGCAGTTTAAGGCCACGTTTTATAGCTTGCAGTGTCCTTTAACATTTTTGCACCTCCGTGAGGATGACAACAGACTATTGTTCACAAAGCACCCTTGATTTTTTCAAAATATTTCAATAATTATAAGGCACTTCACAGTATGTTTTTTTTTATTGTACTTTAGGTTCTGGGGTACATGTGCAGATCATGCAGGATTGTTGCATAGGTACATATGTGGCAAGGTGGTTTGCTGCCTCCATCCCCCTGTCACCTATATCTGGCATTTCTCCCCATGGTTTCTTTAATAGCATTGAAGGGGCAAAAGGGTCAGGGGCCTGTGTTTTGTCTTCTCTTCTGAGATTTGATCATTGACAGATGTGTTCTGCTTTTCCTCTCCAGGGCAAAATACTTCAAAGGGAAAAAGATCCATGGAGAAATTGACATTAAAGTAGAACAGGTAAGTTGGTGCAGTTGGACCCGGGGGTCAGTTGTCTATACTGCAAACTGAGTGATCATTTTTGTGTGATGTAGGTGAATCACCAATTTTTGTCTCCTTCCCAGGCCGAATTCTCTGATCTCAACCTTGTGGCCCATGCCAATGGTGGATTCTCTGTGGACATGGAAGTTCTTCGAAACGGGGTGAAGGTCGTGCGGTGAGTATAAAAAGGGTACCTTGGTGTTACGAGCGAGGGATAAGAACTCTCCCCCTTAGAGCCGGGGGAGAGTTCCAACCTCCCCACCCATCCTTCTGTGGGCAAGAATTTAGGCATGGAATGTGGGAAGACAACTTTTCTTCTGAAAAAGAGCCAGGGACCCCAGCATGCCACAAGCCAGACTTTTCAATTTTTTTTTGAAACAGGGTCTTGCTCTGCCTCCCAAGCTGGAGTGCACTGGCACAATCGTGGCTTACGTAGCCACAGCCTCCCAGGCTCAAGTGATCCTCCCACCTCAGCCTCCCAAGTAGCTGAGACTACAGGTGTGCACCACCATGCCTGGCTAATTTTTGTGGTTTTTTGTAGAGATGGGGTCTCACTATGTTGCCTTGGTTTGTCTCAAACTTCTGGGCTCAAACAATCCACCTGCCTTGGCCTCTCAAAGTACTGGGATTACAGGTGGGAGCCGCCATACCCAGCCTTCAATTATCAATTAAATAAACATTTGTTAGACATCTGCTGCATGCCAGGTGCTGCTCCCAGCACTTTATATTTAACAAATATTTATTGTGCACCTACTGTGTGCCAGGAGCTATTCTACATGCCGAAAGACCAAAAAAAAAAAAAAAAAAAAAAAGCAGCCGGGTGCGGTGGCTCATGCTTGTAATCCCAGCACCCTGGGAGGCCAAGGCAGGCATATCACCTGAGGTCGGGAGTTCGAGACCAGCCTGACCAACATGGAGGAATCCCCTCTCTACTAAAAATACAAAATTCAAAATTAGCTGAGTATGGTGGCACATGCCTTTAATCGCAGGTACTCGGGAGGCTGAGGCAGTAGAATCGCTTGAGCCTAGGAGGCAGAGGTTGCAGTGAGCCGAGATCATGCCATTGCACTCCAGCCTGGGCAACAAGAACGAAACTTCGTCTCAAAAAAAAAAAAAAAGCAACCCTGGCCTTATGAACCTTACATTCTACCGTGAGATACACGCAATACACAAATAAATAAATAAGAAAACATAAAAGTGCTAAGAAAAAATATAGCAGTGGCCAGACATGGTGACTCACACCTGTAATCCCAGCACTTTGGGAAGCCAAGGTGGGTGGATCGCTTGAGCCCAGGAGCTCAAGACCAACCTGGCCAACATGGTGAAACCCTGTCTCTACTAAAAATACAAAAATTAGCCAGGCATAGTAGCACGCACTGTAGTCCCAGCTACTCGGGATGCTGAGGCAGGGAAATCACTTGAACCCAAGAGATGGAGGTTGCAGTGAGCTATGATCGCTCCAGCCTAGATGACAGAGCAACACTCTGTCTCAAAAAAGAAAAGAAACAAAAAGAAAAGAAAAAAAAAGATATATATATATAGCACTAAAGCAGATGATGTAACAATCGTTGGATGATGGTGGGGTCTTCAGTTGGGATAGGGTGATCTGGTTGCAGGAGAGACATTTCAGGAAAGACCTGAAGGAGGTAAAGGAGTGATCCATGCAGATATCTAGCGGGGAAGTGCTTTAGGCAGACAGAACAGCCTTTATAAAGGTCCTGAGGTTAGAATTCATTCTAACCTCACTGAAGACAGCTGGCAGTCTGAGAGACTGTGACCAGGGAGTTATCAGAGCTGTGTGGGTAAGGTGCAAGCTGACCTTGCTAAGAAGGGAACAGGTAGGAAAGGCTTCAAGGGGGTCAGCAGGTGGGCAGAGGGTAGAAAGGGTGCACTAGGCAGAGGGAACAGCTTTGCACATGTGTGCAGAGGTGAAAAACCACTTTGCAATTTCTGGGAGCTATGGAGATTTAGAAACTTGGTCTTTGCTTTGAGAGTGATAGGGAGCTTCTGGGGGAACTCTCAACACTCCTGCCCCTGCCACACTAGGTCTCTGAAGCCGGATTTTGTGCTGATCCGCCAGCACGCCTTCAGCATGGCACGCAACGGAGACTACCGCAGTTTGGTCATTGGGCTGCAATATGCTGGAATCCCCAGTGTTAATTCCTTGCATTCTGTCTACAACTTCTGTGACAAGCCCTGGGTGGTAAGTAACAGGAAGGGTGCCACTGGCAGAGGGAATAGCTCATGCATGCATGTGGAAGCTTGAAACCATTCTGCGATTTGAGGGAAGTAAGGATGTTCAGAAGCTTAGAGGTTCCCGGTGAAGGACACACTGACCAGCTCTCTTGGTTCTCATAGTTTGCCCAGATGGTTCGACTGCACAAGAAACTGGGGACAGAAGAATTCCCTCTAATTGATCAGACCTTCTACCCCAATCACAAAGAAATGGTGAGTTTGAGGAAAATATAGTGGGCAGGAGGGAAGAGTCATAACTACTGCAATAATATTAAATATTGGCATGTTATCAGCAGTGTGATATCAAGAGTGTGGCTGCTGTGTGCAGGTGGAGGCAGAAGTTGCTTTGTGATAGGGTCTACCATAAATTTTCTAGTGTTTACAAGGAAAACTAAATCATGATCCTTTCCAGTATTTATCACATCCTGTTGTTCATGTTATCTATTTTTGCCATTATTAAAAACCGATTTCTAATGTGAATTGATAGAATTAATGTAATGAATCAGAATATATTACATATAGAAATCATTATTACTAACATTATCAAATATTTCTCCTGATAGAAATTTTACTTATATTCAAATTAGGATTGCCAATAACATTTATCAATAGTAATGTTATAAATTCGGCCGGGCATGGTGGCTCATGCCTGTAACCCCAGCACTTTGGGAGGCCAAGGCTGGTGGATCACAAGGTCAGGAGTTTGAGACCAGCATGGCCAAGATGGTGAAACCCCACCTCTACAAAAAATACAAAAATTAGCTGGGTGTGGTGGCGTACACCTGTAATCCCAGCTACTCAGGAGGCCGGGGCAGAAGAATCACTTGAATCCGGGAGGCGAAGGTTGCAGTAAGCCGAGATCATTCTGCTGCACTCTAGCCTGGGTGATAGAGTGAGACTCCATCTCAAAAAATAAAAAATAATAAATAATAAATAAACTAAATTGTTTACAAATAGAAATTGAACTGTTGGTTACTATTATACAATATAATCACTAATATTACAAATTATCACTAATACTATGTTATTGTTACTATTGTAAATTATGAGTACCTATGTTATGAATTAAATCATAGTTCCTAGTAAAAATTGAATAATCATTACTAATATCAAAGATTATTGCTGTTATTACCAATGATTATTGATACTACAAATTATACTCTGATGTAAATTATAAGTACCTGTTTTGAATTATATTAGAATGGCATGCAATGGAGACTACCACAGTTTGATAATTGGGCTACAATATGCCATAATAAAATATGCTGAATATTTAAATAATAGAAATTGAATTATCATTGCTAATTTCATCAAATATAACAACTAATATTACAATGTATTATAGTGTTACAAATTAAGTTCATTAGTATAAATGATTAGTACCTATGTTGTAAATTGTTATAATTATTTTTTAAAAAATTTAAACCCAAAATGGGAGGATCTCTTGAGCCCTGGAGTTTGAGACCAGCCTGGGCAACATAGTGAGACCCCATCTCTACAAAAAATTCAAAAGTTAGCCGGGCATGGTGACATGTACCTGTAGTCCCAGCTACTTGGGAGGCTGAGGTGGGAGGCTACTTGAAACCTCCACCTCCCGGGTTCAAGTGGGAGGATTGCCTGAGCCCTGGAGGTTGAGGCTGCAGTGAGCTGTGATAGCACCACTACCCCATTCTGGGCAACAGAGTGAGACCCTGTCTCAAAACATTAAATAAATAAGTAAATAAAGTTAAACCATTACTACAAACAGTGTAAAAATTGTTACAGATATAATTATTACCAGTGTTAAGATCACTAATATAAACTATGAGTACCTGTGTTTTGAATTATCTTATAGTTCCTAATAGAAAAAATTACTAATATGGTTAACATTCTAACTGCTATTATAAAAAAATCACTAATATTAACATTTTGATTACTGATATAAATTATGAGTACCACAGTTATGAATCAAATTCTAGTTACAAATAGAAATTAAATAATTCTTACTAATGCCATCAAATTGTGTAAGTAATTTTGTCAATTTTTACAAATATTACAAAATTATGTTTACTCATGTAAATGATCATCACCAAATTTATGACTAAAATTACAATTAAATATCAATGTTAACCCAATCTTATCAACTTGATTAAATAAACATTGCTACTAATATTAGCAGTTCTTATCAGTATTACAAATTATAGTCACTGATATACGTCAACAGTGTTATAAATTAAGTTTACTTACAGATAAAAATTGAATCATCAGGTTTTTTGGGGTGTTTTTTTGTTTGTTTGTTTTTGAGATGGGGTCTCTTTCTGTCGCCAGGCTGGTGTGCAGTGGCACAATCTCGGCTCACTGCAAACCTCCACCTCCCGGGTTCAAGTGATTCTTCTGCCTCAACCTCCCAAGTAGCTGGGACTGCAGGCTCACAGCACCACGCCCAGCTAATTTTTCTGTTTTTAGTAGAGACAGGGTTTCAACATGTTGGTCAGGTTGGTCTCGATCTCTTGACCTCGTGATCCGCCTGCCTCGGCCTCCCAAAGTGCTGGGATTACAGGTGTGAGCCACTATGCCTGGCCTGAATCATTAGTTTTAAAGAAACCAAATTTGTTTATCATTATTAGTATTCTACGTTCTTTGAGAGACAGTAGAGCAGAATGTGCTTAAGAGCATGAACTCTGTAAACAGAATTTCTGTATGAGAATCTTACCTCCACAACTTAATAACTGCTTAACACAGGAAAAGTTACTTAAACGCTCTGTACTCCAACTTATTCATCTACAAGATGTAGATAATAATAGTTCCTGCCTCATATAGTTGGTGTGAGAATGAAATTACTTAGTAAATGTAAAGTGTCTATAACAATGCATCTGGCATATATTAACTGCTACCTAAGTGTTGACAAATTTCTCCTTCTATTCTTAGTTGGTTGAGTACTTTTGTTGTGAAAGGATGTTGGATATTGTCAAATGCTTCTGTGTTTATTGACATGATTGTGTGGATTTTGTCCTTTATTCTGTGAATACAGTGTAGTAGATTGATTTTCATGCAAGTTGATGCATTCATAAGTTTGTTTGTGATGTGTCTAGGTGTAGACATTTGCATTCCTAGGCTAAACCTCACTTGGCCTTGGTATAAATCCTATTTGTACATTGTGAGATTCAGTTTGTGATTATTTTGTTAAGGATTATTGTATCTATATTCATAAGAGACATTGCTCTGTAGTTTTCTTATGATGTCTTTGTCTGGTTTTGGTATCAGGATAATAAAGCCCTCATAGTATTAGTTGGACAGTGTTCCCTTTTCTTCTATTTTTGGAAAGATCTTCTGAAGATTGGCATTAATTTTTTTTTCTTTTTTTGGGACAGGGTCTTGCTGTGTTACTCAGGCTGGTCTTGAACTCCTGGGCTCAAGCAATCCTCCTGCTTTGGCCTTCCAAAATGCTAGAATTACAAGCATGAGCCACCATGCCTGGCTGGCATTAATTCTTTTTATATGTTTGGTAGAATTCACCAGTGAAGACGTCCGGTCCTGGGTATTTCTTCATAGGAAGTTTTTCTTATTCCTAATTCAATCTCTTCACTTGTTATAGGTCTATTCAGATTTTCTATTTCTTCTTGAGTCAATTTTGGTAGTTTGTGTCTTTCTAGGGATTTGTCCATTTCATCTAGGTTTTCTAACTTGCTGGCACATAATTGTTCACAGTATTCTCTTATAATACTTTTTGTTTCCGTAAGGTCAGTACTATGTCCGCTCTTTCATTCCTGATTTTAGTAATTAGAGTTTTCTGCCTTTTTGTTTCTTAGTCTAAAGGTTTGTCAATTTTGTTGATCTTTTCAAAGAACCAAATTTTTGTTGCATTAGTTTCTCTATTTTTTAAATTCTTTTTTTGTTTTGTTGTGTGTGTGTGTGTGTGTGTGTGTGTGTGTGTGTGGTTTTTTTTTTCTTTTTTCTTTCTTTGCAGACTCTCACTCTCTTGCCAGGCCAGAGTGCAGTGGCGGGATCTTGGCTCACTGCAACCTCTGCCTCCTGGGTTCAAGCGATTCTCCTGTCTCAGCCTTTCTAGTAGCTGAGATTACAGGCACGTGCCACCACACCCAGCTAATTTTTGTATTTTTAGTAGAGACGGGGTTTCACCATGTTGGCCAGGCTGGTCTTGATCTGACCTCGTGATCTGCCTGCCTCGGCCTCCCAAAATTCTGGGATTATAGGTGTGAGCCACCGTGCCTGGCCTATTTTTAAAATTCTTTATGTCATTTATTTTCACTCTTATCTTTATTGCTTTTTTCCTTCTGCTTGCTTTGGACTTAGTTTGCTTTTCTTTTTCTAATTTCCTAGAAAAAATAGAAGATTAGGTTACTGATTTTTTTTTTTTTTTTTTTTTTTTTGAGTTGGAGTCCCACTCTGTTGCCCAGGCTGGAGAACAGAGGCGTGATCTTGGCCCACTGCAACCTCCGCCTCCCTGGTTTGAGCAATTCTCCTGCCTCGGCCTCCTGAGTAGCTGGGATTACAGGCGGCTAATTCTTGTATTTTTAGTAGAGATGGGGTTTCACCATGTTGGCCAGGCCAGTATCGAATTCCTAACCTCATAATCTGCCCACTTTGGCCTCCCAAAGTGCTGGGATTACAAGCGTTACCCACCGTGCCCGGCCAGATTATTGATTTTGATATTTTTCTTGTTTTTAGATATAGGCAGTTACAACTATGATTTTTCCTTTAAGCACCACTTTAGCTGCATCCCTTACATTTTGATATGTTGTGTGTTCATTTTCATTCATCTCAGAGTATCTTCTAATTTCCCTTGTGATTTCTTCTTTGACCTATTGGTTATTTATGAGTGTATTACTTTCCACATATTTGTAAATTTTTCAAATTTTCTTCTGTTTGTGATGTCTAATTTCATTCCGTTGTGGTCAGAGAACATATTTTGTATGATTTCAGTCCATTTCAATTTACTGAGATTTGTTTTCTGGCTTAACATAGAGTCTGTTCTGGAGAATGTTCCATGTGCACTGAAGAAGAATGTGTATTCTGCCATTGTAGGGGGAAGTGTTCTATAGATGTCTATTAGGTCTAATTGGTTTATAGCATTATTCAAATCTTCCTTATTGGCCAGGCACAGTAGCTCACTCCTGTAATTCCAGCACCTTGGAAGTCTGAGGCAGATGGATCTCTTAATTGCAGAAGTTCGAGACCAGCCTGGGCTACATGGCGAAACCTCGTCTCTACAA